GGATTCTGGAGCCAGATAATCGGAGTTTGAATCCGCACTCTGACCCTTACTAGCTCTATGACCTTGGGCAAAATGCTTCACTTCTCTGCGCTTCAGGTTCCCGTATGTGGAGTGGATGATAATTATATCTAGCTCATAGCATTGTTTTGAAGATGGAATGAATGACATCTAACAAACACTACAGGAGCATCTGATAAATAAAAATGTAAAATTCTCAAGATCATGGTCACCAGGCCCAGACTGAGCCTGCCTCCCAGAGTTCCAGGGTAAGGTCATAAAACAAGATCATGTGCCCTTTCATAATTCAGAGAGAGGGAACAACTGTTTTAAAGGGACTGCAGGTGTGTCTCGTGGAAAAGGAAATACGCTTGGCATATGGGGCCCCCTCCCCCCCAAACACAAAACCAGGACCAGGAGGTGGAAACCAAAGGGTGACATAGTACATTTCATTTTAACCAGGTCCAGAGGGCAGGCTAATCCTACTCCTCGTGGCTCACCACCATCAACGAAGGACCAGATAACTGCCCAGAGCTGCCCAGGAGGGATGATGTCACTTGGTGAGAGGCAGTTTCACAGCTGCAGCCCCAAGGGGCAAAAGCCATCATTGTGTTCTTTACACACAGCACCTCATGTTTCTGGCTTTAGCAGACCAGCTTGTATTAGATGAACAACGGGAATAGGCAGATAAAGTTCTGAAGGCATACATCTGAAGGCACTGGAACACTAGAGGCAGCAAGAGTCAAGAATCCCGAGAGACAGGAAGTGCACTGAGGCGAGCCTAGCACCTCTGTCTGCTTTTCCCCTCCAGGCATTCGCCAGTTCCCAAGCCATTGGCCAGGATGCTGAGGAGCCTGCTTGGGGCAGCCTCCCAGAACAAAACCAGGAGTTCAGAGCCTTCTGACAGGAGGTGGGGCTCTGTTAATTAGCCCGGGCTGGAGTGGAAGGGGCCCAAGTTAGAGCAGAGCTGTGTTCTATTGTAAGAAAGCTCCTGCATCCACATACTTGGAATTCCCCAGGAGAGGAGAGGGAGAGAGAACGTAGGAAAGAGCTGTTTGAAGAGATAACAGCCAAGAATTATTTAAAATTGATGACAGATTATCAGCCCAAGCAGTATAGTTTACATAGAAACCATGTCTGAGCACGTCAAAACCCAGCTGCAGAAAATCCAGGGCAGAAAACCTTAAAAGCAGCCAGAGTATAAAAGGAGCATTACCTTCAAAGGAGCAACAGAAGACCAACAGCTGAACTCTTAACAGAAAACAAGGAGGCGAGGGAGGCAATGGCATGACATTTTCAAAAGGATGAAAACAATAGCAGTCAACCTAAAATCCTGGAACTGCTGGAGAGAATGAAGGTAAAACAATGACATTGCAGACAAACAAAAATGGAGAGAATTTGTTCGCAGAGGATCCATAACATGTTAATAGTAAAAAAAGTTCTTCAGGCCAAAGGAAAACTGATCCAAAATATTAGTATGGAGGAGCAGGAGGAATGAGGGTACAGGAGGGGCAGCTATGTAGGTAAATCTAAATGAGGATCAACCTTGTGAAAACAATAAAATGACTCATGGGTTTAAAATATGGGTGGGCACAAGTAGGTTTACAGTTATAATACAAATAAATAATACAATAATTAATAAATAATAATACAAGAATAAACTCTGTTTCTCATACCCACAACTGTAAAGCTCATTTTGCCCACCCCTGTCTATGCATCATTAAAAGCATGGCAACAACAGCACAAAAGGTAGGAGGGGGTTAAATGAACCGCGTTTCAAGGTTCTTGCATTGTCTGGAAATGGTAAAAGTACTACTTTTTATTAGACTTTGTAAAGTCTAATAGGTGCATGTTGTAATCACCATAAGAGTAAAAGCTAAGTAGCATGAAGAGGGTACTAAGGGGAGGGGTGATGAAATTATAAAAAAACTAGAGGCCCGGTGCACAAAATCCGTGCAAGGGGGAGGGGTCCCTCAGCCCCCCCCCCTGCACCTTCTTCCAATCCAGGAACCCCTCGGGGGATGTCTAACTGCCAGTTTAGGCCCAATCCTGCAATCCAGGACCACTGGCTCCTAACTGCTTGCCTGCCTGCCTGCCTGATCGCCCCTAACCACTATGCCTGCCTGCCTCATCACCTCTAACCGCCTCTGCCTCAGCCCCTGCCACCACAACTTCTTCCAGAAGGACATCAGGCTATCCGGTCTAATTAGCATATTATGCTTTTATTATTATTGATACTGATTAAACCAAATTAAAGTAGAGGAAAAAGTAACACAAAATAGTTGTCACAATAAAAAAATAGTAATGTGGTGGATTTAAACCCAAATATATCAAAAATGACATCAGATGATTTAACAAAACAATATTACTTTATGTTTTTTTCAGAAGACAGAGGTTTACAGTAAAAGGATGGAAAAAGATATTCAATACACACAATAACTGGTACAAAGTCAGATAAAGTCACTTTTAGACAAGAAACATTACTGTAGACAAAAAGGGACAGATTATGATGATGCAAGAGCCAATCTGCCAAGAAGACATAGATTCAATATGAATAAAATAAATATTGACAGATTTAACAGGAAAAAATTGAGAAATCTGTAATCATCTACACACCCCTGTCAGTCACTGATGGAATCAGCAAAAAGGTCCTTGCACTGAAGATGTGAAGGACATGATTAACAAACATGACTAATTGACAAGGTTCTATCAACCATATTCAAGGACTACAGAAGACAGATTCACTTCAAGTTCACATGCAAAATTAACCCAAAGGGACCCTAAATTGGGTCATAAAGCAAGATTCACCACATTTAATGAAGTCACACCGAATGTGTTGCCTGACTATAATAGAATTAAGCTATAAACCAATAATAAGAGAATACCTAGAAAATCTACAAATATTTGCAAATGCGATAAAAGGGAAAATAAACTATTAGGGCATTCATTCACTTAATAAACACCATTGTTAGCCCAGGAGGATAGGAGGCATAGAGGTGTTCAGCGAGTTGCCTGAGGTTGCACCGATGGTAAGTGGCAAGCCAGGATGTGGAAGAGGGCAGCAGGCTGACCTGGGCTGTGTCCTTCGCCGCTGTGCTTACTGCCCCAGACGGCTTCCCTGCAGGCCAGCCCGTGCCTACTACCTCCCACGGTCTCCCTCTCACCAGAGCTACAGAGGTCTCCAGTCCGCCTATCCTTTTTTTCTTTTTTTATTGCTTAAAGTATTACAAAGAGTATTACATATGTCTCCTTTTTTTTTCCCTGCCCTTGACAATCCCTTGGCCTCCCCTACCCCCCAGTGTCTTATGTCCATTGGTTATGCTTATATGCATGCATACAAGTCCTTCAGTTGATCTCTTACCCACCCCAGTCCGCCTATTCTTATCTCAAAAAGAAATGAAAGAAAGTGTTCCTTCATTTTTAAAAAAGAAATCTTAATCTCTGGGTGTGCATATCTATAAACTGCTCCACCCATCATCTTGGAATCTCTAATCTGTGGGAATGGCCAGTGTTCAACTCCTAAATCTTTCTAGAAAAGTGCTCCTGAAATGTTTGCTTCTTTTGTACAGCTTTCTCCTACTCCTTGCTCTGGGGAATTGTAAATGATTGCACCCAGCTGCTTCTCTCCTCTTTTAAAAATAACTTTTATGGGGTTTTGTTATTGTTGCTTCTTATTGCCAAAGTTATACCAGCTGGTGATAAAAATGTGGACAATGCCATAAGTAAAAGAAAGAAAAATCATTTGCAGCACCACTGTCAGAGGTAACTGTTAATACCACTGTGGTGTGTACCTCTTATAACGCTTTTCTGTACATAAATATTTGCTTTTCAAAACTGGAATCATCAAATATCACATGATCTCACTTATATGTGGAGTGTAAGGAACAAAATAAATTGATGAACAAGGTAGGACCAGTGACATGGAAGCGTGAAACAGACGAACAGATCTTTGGGAGGGCGGGAAGGAGGGTGGGAAGAGATTAACCAAAGAATTTATATGTATACTAGAGGCCCAGGGCACAGATTTGTGCACTGGTGGAGTCCCTTGGCCTGGCCTATGGGGGTCAGGCCGAAACCAGCAGTCTGACATCCCCCAAGGGGTCCCGGATTGCGAGAGGGTGCAGGCCAGGCCGAGGGAGCCCACTGATGCATGAATTTGTGCACCAGGCCACTAATATATATACATACTGGAATCATCTACATAGTGCTTTGTAAACTGCTCTTCACATTTCTCAGTATATTGCAAACATTATGCCTCATTGTCTCTTATTTTACGAAACTTTTATTACACAGTATTCAATCTTTTTTTAAATATATTTTTATTGATTTCAGAGAGGAAGGGATAGATAAAGATAGAAACATCAATGATGTGATAGAATCATTGATTGATCGGCTGCCTCCTGCACGCTCCCTACTGGGGATCAAGCCCACAACCCGGGCATGTCCCCTTCAGTCCACAGGCCCACGCTCTATTCACTGAGCCAAACCAGCTAGGGCCTCAATATTCCATCATATAATGTAGCAGTGGGAACTGTAACCCACCCCACCATTCATTTGACATTGTTTCTGTAGCTGCTGACTCTGACTAACAGGTAGCTTGCAGCATGTTTGTGTAAGAATCCTAGGAACTAACCAAAAGATAAAACTCGGACCTGCAGCCCAGTTCCGGGAAATCTGCTGACCTTCAAACACAGAACCAGGATGATGAAGGCCCGGATGATGCACAACAGACCATCTCTTGACCGGTTTCCAGGTCCTTATGGGAATGACTGTCTGGCCTGCACGTAGAGAACTTTTCAACCCCCTCCCCTTGGTCTCTTTGTTCTGGCTTGCCTTCCCCTCCTTATAAAAACCTCTGCCTGCTCCGGGATGGGGAGATGGGCTTTGTGACAAGGGTCCCGCTCTGTATAACGAGTTTGGTTTTTGTGGCGGCAGGCAACAGAACTTGGGTTTCGGTTACAATAATCTTATCACTTTTTTCTTAATTTTTAATTTATTGATTGACGAGAGAGAGAGAGAGAGAGAGAGAGAGAGAGAGAGACTTCTCTCACCCACCCCACTATTAAGTATAAATTAATTCTTTTAAAAAATTATTTTAGAAAGAGAGAGAGAGAGACTTGTTGTTCCACTCATTCATGTATCCATTGGTTGCTTCTTGTAAGTGTCCGGACTGGGGAACGAACCCACAACCTTGGGGTATCAGGATGATGCTCTTACCAACTGAGCTACCTGGCCAGGGTTATCACTATTTTTTGTTTTCACTGCTATAAAGATGGTTGAAATTAATATCTTTGTTGCTAAACTGTCCATCGTCTTGGAATAAATTCCCAATAGTAAAATTGCTGGGTCAAGCAGCTGGTGAAAGTGAACACTTTTGTATATTAACTGCCCTTCAGAAAGACTGCACCAATATTCATGTCAAAGGCAGGATGTAGGTTCCCCATATCCTCAAACATTCCAGCTATGACCATGTTTTCAAACTTTCTCCCACCTGATAAGCAGAAAAAGGTATCTTGTTGTGACTAGCATTTCTTTTGTTGCTAGTGAGGGTGAGCCTGGCGCCACCCACAACGCCCCCACCCCCACTTATTGGTCACTAATATTGCTTTTTTTAGAAGATTACCTCTTCATGTTTTTTATCCCCTTTTCTATTAAATGTTCATCTTTGCTTTGCTCTAGCTGGTTTGGCTCAGTGGATAGAGGGTTGACCTGTGAACTGAAGGGTCCCGGGTTTGATTCTGTCAGGGGCACATGCCCAGGTTGCAGGCTCGATCCCCAGTGGGGGGCAGCAGGGGGTAGCTGATCAATGATTCTCTCTCATCATTGATGTTTCTATCACTCTCTCTCTCCCTCTCCTTTCCTCTCTGAAATCAATAATATACATATATATATATATATATTTAAAGAAACTGAACATTTAAAAAACAAAATGTCCATCTTTCCCTTAATGCTTTGTCAAAATTCATTTTTCATGGGAATCCATGCAGCCCTCAGGAGCGAAAAACCTTCAGGTAGAAGCCAACGTCCAGAGCAGAGCTTGGGTAGATGGAGTGCTGGGCCACCCCTTCCATGAGGCCTTTATTCTACCATAACCCACTGCAGACCCGAGGCCTTGCCCGCTCCCCTGGTGGTCGCCTGCCAACCAGGATAGGTGAGGGTTTCCTGGGGGCTGTTGCGGGTTTGAGCTTGAGCTCAGGTGCAGCCCCTCCATCCCAGACCCTAGCTGCAGGGGGTGAGGTGGCCTGTAGGGAACCAGCTCAGGGTGGTCCCACCGCTGCAGCTCAGGTGTTCACCTGGGCATTGGCAGCATGGGCCACCTGCCACCCGGATGATGCATTTAGACCTGAGCCCTGGCTGGAGGTGCAGAGGAGGCAGGTGGTACAATGTCAGTCCAACTGCAGAGGGCGGCACCGGGACAGACTCTGCAGTCCATAGGAGCTCGGGCCCAGGTGGTCCTGTGGCTGGGGGGGCAGCGGCACACGTGAGCCTGCGGGGCGCAGGCATGGCCTACCAGGGTCCCGAGGTGGGAACTGCCCACAGCCTCTGCGCCTGGCTTTTCCCACCAGCCCGCAGCAGCTGTGCTGGAGCCGTGCCCAAGTGGGCGCTTGCCAACCAGGCTGGGTCAGGCTGTTTCCTGGTGGCTGAAGAAGTCCTCTCTCTGCTAAAGTTGCAGGGGTGCTGTGGGCCCTGGCCTAGCACAGGTCAGGCGCTTGTTAAAAGTGTGTTGGACAGACTGATGTTGCCAAAAGGAAAGAGGGGAGGGGGCAGGGCGAAAAAGGTGAAGGGATTAAGAAATACAAATTGGTAGTTCTGGTATAGGCATGCGGATGTAAAGTACAGCATAGGGAATATAGTCAATAATATTGTAATAACTATGTACGGGGCCAGGTGGATACTTGAAATATCAGGGGGGTCTCTTTGTAATGTATATGATTGCCCAACCACTGTACACCTGAAACTAATACAAAATAATATTGAATGTAATTGAAAAATAAAATTAAAAATATTTAAAAAGCAGAATGCAAAGCTGTCGTACAAAAGTTTTCCATTTCAAATAAAAAAAACCCCACAGACTCACACTATGTCTCAAATCATAAACAAATATGGTAAATTCCTTCTCCTTTGACCCTCCTGAACCTTTGATGACATTTGGATTGATGGAGGACACTATTCTCCTCCTCACACCTGCTCTTACTCTTCGCTCAAAGAGTTGTACTTCTCTACAGACATCAAAAAGCCTGGTGGAGCCCTCAGCCAGGTGGCTTAGCTGGTTGGAGTGTTGTTCCCTGCACCAAAAAGTTGTGGGTTCGATTCCTAGTCAGGGCCTTAGGTTGTGTGTTTGTTGCCCAGTTGGGGCACATATGGGAGCCAACCAATGGGTGTTTCCCTCCTCTCTCTCTAAAATAAATAAAAACATATCCTCGGGTAAGGATAAAAATAAAAATAATAATAAAAAAGGCCTGGTGGAAACATTTATGTGATACGAAGTTGGGAGAGTTTTTAAACAGGAAGATCTATTCTCAACCTTCGCCTTTGAAAATCTCCAAGGTCATTGGCAACCCAGGAAGAGCCTGCACCAGTGAGATTGCACCACCACCCACCATGGAAACTCCGGGGCCACCCTCTACCTGCCCACAGCCAGCATCTCTGCAGCTCAGGTCTCACCAACCCTCTCCAGGCCCGCAGAGGACCGCCCACAGCGGGAAGGCCCACCTTGGAAAGGATTCCGTGAAAACCTCACCCACGTGAAGTCTAGGAACTATGGAGCAGACGGCTTTAATTACTCACACAGATTAGCTCACGAGAGGGTTCAAGGCAAGATGCCCAAGGACTGCAGTGTTTGACTGACACAAATAAGAGCCAGCACATGCCAGAGGAGTGTGGCCAGGGCTCAGCAGAAAGAGGGACATTGTCTTTCCTAGTATGTTTTCATGGGACTCTTGACTGAGCAGTTGAAGGCATTCTTACATTCAATACAATACCTTGGAGGATACAACGTTCACACGGTTGACGCTAGAATAAACTTGCTGACAGAGGGACTTGGACCTCAGGGGGTGTCTGGAGCAGCCAGGGATAGAATTCCTCCATATCACTGCGACTCCAGGTCCCAAGCATTCCTGACAATAGCAGCCAGAATCAGCTCCCCGCATGCAGCGACTATCCAGCCAGCCTGCCCATCTTCTCCACAAAGAAGGGGCTGGACAGGTGATTCTCTCTTATCATTGATGTTTCTATCTCTCCCTCTTCCTTCTCTCTGAAATACACACACACACACACACACACACACACACATATATATATATATATTAAAAATCAAAGATTGTATTTCTTAAATTCCTGACCCACAGTAGGTGGTCAAAAAATATCGGGTAAGCCCTAGCCAATTTTGCTCAGTGGTTAGGGCGTCCACCCAAGAACTGAAGGGTCACAGATTCAATTCTGGTCAAGGACACATACCTCCCCGGCTGCAGGCTTGATCCCCGGCCCCAGCTGGGGTGTGCGCAGGAGGCAACCAATCAATGTGTCTGTCTCACACTGATGTTTCGCTATCCCTGTCTCTTCCCTTCCCTTCCACTCTCTCTAAATGGAAAAAATATATCCTCAGGTGAAGATGAACAAATATATATGACGTTTTGGTTCAAACATTTTGGTTCAAACAGGCACTGCCTCCTAGAATTGGGTCAGGCTGTCCAAGTGCCAACTACAAGGTGCTAAGCCGCATTACGCAATTGGTCATATTTAATTTTTTTCTTCCGACTTCCCCGAGTGTTATTTGGGGAACTGGGAACTCCCAAGAATGAGCTTAGGTAGTTCCCTCCTGGATCCATCTCTTGCATCAATATGTTTGCAAAATAGAAATAAACATTTGCCCCAAAGAATACACAATATTGGAGAAAGCTTAATTACTTAAATAAAAAGGTGTCTTCCCTTGTGCTATATAAACTAGGCAGGTGCTAAGTCGTGCTGGGTTCAATGGGAGGGTGGGCTCCAGGGAGCCTGCAGTGTCTGCAAATAAGACTTTTAAGCAGGACATGAGCCAACCTGTGCTTCTGGCCGTGTGAGGGGTTGAGGCGGAGGGTATGGCCAGAGGGGGAGAAAGAGGTTCTCCGCCTGGATCTTGCCCAAGTTTCTCAGTTGATCCTGAGCAGTGTTACGTCCATTGCTTGATAAACATCCTTTATTGGAAGACATCTTTAGTTTCAAAGCATAAGTCACCCAAGGAACTTTCTAGAACATTATGGAGACAATGATTTCTATGATTCCAGGAGTGGCATTGTACTGATAGTGAATGAATATTTGAAAATCCTTTACTTAATTTTGACCCAACAAGGTTCCAAAAGGAAAAAGAGAAAAATGTAAAATGGAAATTTCCAGGGTCCTTTTCTTAGGTTGCTCGTTTGACAGCTGAATCACTCTACCTCAGAAAGAATGTGCAAGGCCTGCTCCCCAAAACATCTCTGAGTCTCAAGAGATCCTGGGGCTATTCCAATGTTTTTCTTTCCCACTGATCCAAAGCAACCCCATTTGAATCACTTCATCATCCACCTGAAGAAGGCATTCTGTGCTGTAGCACTTGCCTGCCTAGCAATATTTTCTGAAAATCAAGTGGCTACTGACTTCACCAGCACATTCTTAAACAATATCACAGACTATGGCCTCTTACTAATGACATCTCACTTTGTGGCCCAATCAAAAAATGCCCAATGTGAGCAACCGAGTCCTAGTTAGTGACACAGATAAGGGGGGAGTGGGGGGAGAGGACATGAAATTTGTACACTGCTGTGCATAGTGCATTTCATACATTAAGCAAAAGGCACTTTTCTTACACAAGCTGATTCTCTAGACTGAACGCCATCCTTATACCGACGAACATGACTATCCATGGCATAGGACCCTCCTAAAGCAGGTCTCACTCTGGCTCCAGCTTTGCATGACAGCTCTGCTGCTTCTGAGGCCCCTGGTGGGGGAAATGATTCATTCCTCCCATCACTTGCTCCATACCGTGTGCTCCGGAGCTCCCAGTAACTGGCTTGCCTAACCCAATGGGATGCATCACATAAACAATCATGCCACTCCCCAGCTAGGAGCAGTGGCCACGATGAAAAGGGCACTTGCTTAGTGTATTCAACAGTGAAGTGTGGGGCTCAGCTGAATTCTTTCACCCAGCTGGAACAGTCAAATCAACGCCTCTGCCAGATGTAGGCATGCAGATCTGGGGCCAGGGGGTGTGGTGGGAGTTGTCTCCTCCATCCCCCGCAGGCCACCAGGGACCCTTGCTCAACCAGCAGCAGTGATGAATGGTTCTCATTCAGGGCCCAGAGTGCACCGCTGTGGGGCTACCCCAGCTGTGGTCTGGGTGCTGCTCTGACCCACATGGAACACATTCCTTTGTGGAGGAGGGCTCTTTTGGGTGAATGGGGTGTGCTCAGAGGATGAAGGAAGTGAGTGGCAGACAAGGGGGCCCTTCTGAACCACATCAGACAAGATCACCGACTTTGACAACATACCTGGCCAGGGCTGGTCCATTGGGCTCCTGGCCAAAGATTTCACCTCAGTCCGATCTCTTTCTGGCCACAGAGCATGAATGTTCAGGACACAATTTAATGGTGAGAAGGTAGGCATGCAAAGCTGAATTTTTTTTCAGCTTCCAGAAAGAGGCCTTTGTGAGGAATAATTTGTTATGACCGATGGGGGTTCCCCACAATCCACGTCTAGCTCTGGGTGGAATCTCATTTTGACCAGGCTGTTTCCTGGTGAGGCTGAGAACACAATTTTAAACCCTTTAAAATGTGCCTGCTGGCGACACTCAAATTGGATCAGGAAGGGAGAGCCAAATACATAGTGTCTGTAAGAGACAAATCTTATCTCTACAGCACATAGCCCATAAAGAAGGGTTAGGGAAAATCCAAAATCAGTGCTGCTGCTTAAAGGCAATACTATATGCCCTGGCCCGATAGCTCAATTGGTCAGAGCATCATTCCGATACACGAAGGTTGTGGGTTTGATCCACTGGTCAGGGCACATGCAAGAATCAACCAATGAATGCATAAGTGAGTGTAACAACAAATCAGTGTTCCTCTCTCTCTCTCAAATCAATAATATAAAATAAATTTTAAAGGCGTTTTATGGTTTAAACCTAAGCATCTCAGTCCATATTCCTATGCGTGAAGCCTTAGTGTCACTACCAAAGTTGAAATTCCTACAACTGTGTCTCCTACAGTGATTTAATTCTAAAGACTATTGTTTCCTGAGGCAGAAGAGGAAAGGAAGGAGGGTTCAGCAATGACTCTTTCTCAGCACCTGTACAACAACTCACATGACCTTGGGGTTGAGCCTCACAGGCAGCTAGCCTAAGGTGAGATCCAACCCATGAAGGGGAAAACAATCAAGACCCAGTTACAACAGGAAAGCCCACATAACCCACACAAGGGACATTCCTAGAACATCCAGATCAGGAGATCAAAGAGACTGCACCACTGGGTCCCACAGGACACTTACTACATAAGGCCACCCATGAAGAGTGGGAGGCATAGCAGTTCTATCTAATATATAGAAACAAACACAAAGAGACAGTTAAAATGGGGAGATAAAGAGCCAATCTCCAAATGAAAGACAAGGAGGAATCTCCAGAAAAGAGGTAAATGAAGTGAAGGCAAGCAATTTATGAGACAAAGAATTCAAAGTCATGGTTATAAGGATGCTCAAGGAATTTAGTAAGAACAACAAGGAACTTAGTGGGAACTACATCAGCATGAGAAAGGACATAGACACTGTGAATAAGAACCAGTTAGAAATTAAGAATACCACCTGACACTGTAAGGAATTAAAAGTGGGCTGAATGAAGCAGAGGATAGAATCAGTGATTTGGAAGACAAGGTAGAAAAAAATACCCAATCAGAGCAACAAAAGAAAACAGATTTTTAAAGAAGAGGATAGTTTAAGGGAATGTTGGGACAACATAAAACATAACATTATAGGGATCCCAGAAGGAGAAGAAAGTGAGCAAGAGATAGAAAACCTGTGAAGGAAAAAGTCACACAAGTCCAGAAAGCACAAAGAGTACAATCAAGACAAATCCCAAAAGAACCACACTAGACACATCCTAAGGCAAATGTTAAAGACAAAGAGAGACTCTTAAAGGCAGCAAGAGAGGAACAGTTAGGTACCTACAAGAGAATTCCCATAAGGCTGTCAGCTGATTTCTCAACAGAAACCCTTCAGGCCAGGAGGGATTGGCATGGAGTATTCAAAGTAATAAAAGCAAGGACCTGAATCCAACACTACTCTATCCAGAAAGGCTATCCTTTAAAATTGAAGGCAAAATAAAGAGCTTTCCAGACCAAAAAAAAAAAAAAAAAAGGCTAAAGGAGTTCATTACCACCAAACTAGCATTGCAAGAAATGTTAGAGGGACTGTTTTAAGAAGAAGACATAAAGAGAGATAGGACATAGGTATAAATAAAAAAGGGCAAAAATAAGTACTTATCAATAATAACCTTAAATGTAAATGGATTAAATGCTCCAATCAAAAGACACAGGGTAGTTGAATGGATCAGAAAAAATGACCCATATATATGCTGTCTACAAGAAACCCACCTCAGAACAAAAACTCACACACTAAAAGTGACGGATGAACAGTAATCATAGCAGGGCTCACTCTTGGCTTTGAACACCTTCTGTGCTCCTGGAGTTTCCAGGCCAGGCTCTCCTCCAAGCGATGCAACCCGGGCCAACAGTCACTTCTTCAGGCATGAGCCCCTCAGATGAGATCGAGACCCAGGGACCCAGAGAGGAGGAAGCAGCTGGTAGAGACCACACCCATCTTTGGCTTGTCTGGAAATGTCTGGCCACAGGGGTCGGGGATAGGAGTTTGTTAAGAGCCTGCGATCTGGGCTTCTGTTTTCTGTAGAAATGCTGTCTCCCTTCCAGAAGCCCAGTGAGCATAGCAGGCACCAGCTGCCACATCACCAACGCTGGCGAGGCTCGGCTGCACAATGCCAGCGGTAGCGTGTCTCTGGCACTCATTCCTGGAGACAATGGCATCCAGAGAGCAGTGGCATATGCCCAGAGACCTTTAAGTTCTTGCTCTTCCTGAGGAAAGCAGGCTTTCTCAGCTACCTTTGGGCCTGATCAATGTTATACATGCTTTTCTGGGCCTCCTTCTAAGAATGATTCTAATGTTCTTATTGGAATGGCATGGCATGGCTCCCACTGTCTTTAACATGACACGCACCAGCTTTAACCCCAAATCCTTAGCTCTAGCCACAGTGACCTGAGTGTGTATGTTCCCAGAGACACCTGCTTTCACAGTACCCTGCCTTTGGACTTGCTTTGCCCTGGTTTAGGATATTACATATCCACCCTCTGAACACCTACTTTTTGTTTAAGAATCTACTCACACAAGTATGGCAGTTCCTCAAAAACTTAAGAATAGAGTTACCATATGACCCAGCAAACCCAGCAATCCCTTTTCTGGGTATCTACCTGAAAAAGTTAAAAACATCCAGCTTGGCTCAGTAGATAAACCATCAGCCTGTGGACTCAAGGGTCCCAGGTTCGATTCCAGCCAAGGGCACATGCCTGGGTTTCAGGCTCGATCCCCAGTAGGGGGCATGCAGAAGGCAGCCAATCAATGATTCTCTCTCATCGTTGATGTTTCTATCTATCTCTCCTTCTCCCTTCCTCTCTGAAATCAATAAAGAAATATATTTTTTTAAAGAAATGTTAAAAAAATTATTCACAAAGATATATGCACTCCTATGTTCACTGCAGCACTACTCATGGTGGCCAAGGCATGAAAACAACCAAAGTGTCCTTCGATAGATGACTGGATAAAGATGATGTGGTACATATATACTATGGAATACTACGCAGCTATAAGAAAAGATGGACCTTGAGAATATTATGCTAAGCAAGATAATTCAGTCAGAAAAAGCTAAGAATCATATGATTTCACTCATTTATGGGACATAAAACTGAAATTCATAGACACAGAAAACAGTATGGTCGTTGCCAGAGGGAAGGGGGTAGTGGGGTAGTGGGGGGAAAGGGAGCCAAATACTAGTATATGGCGATGGAAGATTATTTGACTTCGAGTGGTGGGCACACAATGCAATATACAGATCATGTATTATAGAAATCTAAACTTGAAACATAATAATCTTTTCAAAAAAATATGTTCTTATTGACTTTAGGGAGAGAGAGAGAAAGATATCGATGGGTTGCCTCCTGTATGCACTCTGCCTGGGGATCAAACCCCCAACCCAGGCATATGCCTTGACTGGGAATTGAACTGGTGACCTTTACATGCACAGGACAATGCTCAACCAACAGTGCCACACAGGCCAGGGCAAAGCCTACATAATCGAATTAACCAAAGTCACCCCAATAAATTTAATTTAAAAATGAAATTAAATGAAAAGAAAGAATCTACTCACACAAGTAAATAACAAATCCTAAGGAATCTACTAAAAGACTATAAGAACTGATGAAAGAATTCAGCAAGGTTATACACTGGGTGGCCAGATTATTATGAATATCCCATCAGTACTTCGTTGGGCCACCGTTTGCCTTCAATACTGCGGCGATTCTTCTTGGCATTGACTCCACGAGATGTTGAAAGGTGATGCGAGGAATCTGACACCATGCCTGATGAATAGCACTGTCCAGTTCTGTGAGATCTGA